AAAGGGTAGAAATGTGGTCAGCGGCCGCGCTGCGCACCGAAGTGCATTTTAGCTTTAACGGATCCGCCCGCCGGAAACGACAAGTACGGTCCACTTACGGTGCTGTCTGGTCTGTGTAGACACCGTCCACGTAACCGTAAAGGTGCGTTTGCACTATGCGGGCTCTAACGAATGAGACGATCTTGATTTAGGTACTGAATTAACGATCGGGCGCACCTCGCATCAAACGCCGCGGAACACGGGCGAGAGGGCCACGGGAAAAGCGCGGGACCGCGCCGTAAGCTTGAAAGATTGTGAAAGCTATAAAGCATCCGGAAAGCTCCGGGGAAATTGGGAGAAAGTCGAGGAACTTGTGAACTTTGCCTATATATACCGCGATTCCGATAGCGTTCGATCGAATTTATTCCATCGTCGCTTTGCTCCTCCAGTCGTGGAATATAAAGCCGAAGATTATAACTTTCGTTTTAATCTATAAATATCGCACCCCCGTAAGAAAACACAAATTAAAATTTTTTCAAATTCCGTATTATGTGCGGATTGTTCTAAATACATCGGTCTTCAATCAGAAAAAGTGATATGAAATTCGAAAATTTGAACTTGTACCTTATCTTTTTATCTGTTGGGGTTGCGATACATGTGTACAGATTTATAGATATTATAAAATATTAATGTTTGCATCAGTATACATATACAGAGACGACTGTTGCAGCATCGCGATCTGAATTCCGCGAAATCTGATGACGCTCGCGATTTTCGATATAAGTATATTCTGTGCAAACGCACCCTAAGCGCTGCACTCCGTCACTACGACGGGCACAAAAGAAGAGCGACGGCCACCGCGACGGCTTGACTTATTGCGCGTGGGCGACCGGAATCGGGCTCATATCCGGTTCCTGGCCATATGCGTTGCTTATTCACCTGCATCACCTTTGCGAGCGGTCACGTTCAGTCTGGGGGGTTTCGCGCCCCCGAGCCCTACCAGCCGTTAAATGAGCGGACAAACAATCGACGGGGCCCGTCCTAACCCGATGTTAACCCTTTTACAAATACCAGGCGATCGAACAGTAGCGTATGTACCTGCTTCGTACCTGCCGAACGCCGGCTGAAACAATGGGGGCCGGCGCGATTGGCTTTGCGCCGCTACGGCCTACGGCACGCGTTGTCCATTGTTTCGTCACACGTACACACGTACACATGTAGACGGATACATGCACCGAGAATCGAAAAAGCAGCGCAAAAAGCATCGTGCTACGTGCTCGCGATTCCTTCAAACTAGCTCGCGATGCCACAGGTTGAACAACCTGTGTGAACGGATTTATGAGAGCACAAAATGGTAGATCGTATTTTGCTTATATCGAGAAAACAAAAATTTCATGTAATAAAATTTAGCTTATATTTCGTTGCAATATTTTCTTTATGGTTCCATAAGAAAAAGTATTGATATCTTATCAAGATATAATTATTAATCAAACAAATTTGTACTAAACTTAACTTTTACTGACTTACTGCATGAGTCATTTAAAGGCATAATTATTATCTTTAACGTCGTAAATAATTTGACAAAAGATATGTCGCATAATTAATTTATTTTCTGGAGAGAAAGAGAGAAGCATAATTTTCGAGAAATAATTAAGAATAATTAATTTTCGCTCTGTCCGACGGACGGATCAACGGGGGTATTAATAGAGACAGTAATTTGCAGGACAATACGAGACAGAACGTTGTTAACAAATCCCGTGATCCTATCGGAGATGACCACACGGCGATCCACGCCAAAATGGCCAATTTTCATTACGATGCGGTAATACATTTCGGCTTGCCATTTAGGCTGCGCTCGAGTCTCGGCCAATTATACTCTGCTTGTGTACAATCAACAGAAATCAATAACACCTTGTCATAATATCGATCTCCGGTTATATACGGTACACCTTCCCGTGTTGACTGTTGAGTTAGTCAGAGATGATTGTGATACCGGGATAAACGCGACTGCGGGATAAGCGCATCACCCCGCTTGTTTCCAACAGACAAAACGAACGGGCATTATCGAGTCATTAAAGTAGAATATTAATTTTATTAAACGACAAAAAGTCAATTCCGTCTCGTTGTTGCATCGCCGCGCTGCTATTACTCGCTCGCTTTCGCGACAGCCGATTGACGTGTTTATCAATTCGCAGTGGGGAATCGACTTCATCAATTAATGCGTTATGATAGATGATATTTCCCGTATCCCGCGCCCGATCGGTCGGATCGCCGCTCACGATCGCTCTTAACAGTTTGCTAAATTAATTTGTCTAATTAATTGTCCCGCGTGCGTGCACGCTTATCGTAATTAGCAGGGTGCGCGAATTGCCGGCCGCCCGCGCGTCGCCGCCGCCGGCGCGAGCAAGCGCGCCCTGTGGATAATTTACCGAGTCATTTCGATGGCTCGTAGTACGTTTAATATGGACCGATGCCTGATTGCGAGGGGCATATTAACGGGTTATTAGGCAGAACGCGATAAAGGCGCGGCCTAACGCGCAAATTGCTCGTTCGCGTGTCGCCGGTCAGTACTCTCGTAAGTAGGGGGAGGCGAGGGAAAAGGGCAGAGGAAAAGAGAGAAAAAAAAACGCCGATGCACACGAAGAAGAATTAATTATGCGCGAAGACAAATGCGAACGAATTAACTTGTCGAAATAAAGCCTCGCGCCTGCCATTCGTGATACCTAACTGCACTCGACGTGAGCTCGGCCAAATCCGGTAATTAACAGCGCGAGGTGGGCGTTTCGCGTTGAGCCCTCGCGTTTTCGCGCGTGAGGATAATCGAGGATTTAAGAATCGGACTCTTCAATTTGCAACGTGAAACCTGAATTTTCTGCGAGAAGGTCCCCCGGTACGTTGCACTGGGACGTACGATAAAATAACGAAAGAACCAGATATTTCCATTAGCCGGCTAGTATTTGTTTATTTGTCCGGAGATACCGCGCTTGCTTACAGAGGGATGGTACATACCTAGTTTCGTACAAACAAACAAGTGAACTTGCGACAACCGTCCGTGCGCTCCCTTGGCTATACCTTCTTTCTCCCTTCCGCTGGCGACACCTGGTTCTTCAGATCCTTCAACTGTAATCGCCTTATCTCTCACCACCGGCAATATCCCTTACGACCGCTCCGGACAACAGAACTGGTAGAAGAAGAATTAACTAACCAGGAGAGTTGGTGTGTAACTATATAGTTGTAGGGAGAACACGTGACCGTTGTCGACGAGCATTGCTGGCGAGGCACGGCTCTATCGCTGAACTAATCAGTGTTTAATTTGCGGTTTCCAGATCCGTAATTATATCTGATGTGTAACTTCTTGCCAGTTTGCGGGCGGAATCGGATTCGTCTGTTCCGTAACAAAGCCGAGCGACAAATTTAAAAGAGCGGCCAATTAGCTACTTGCTGCTGCAACGTCGAGATCCGACAACACTTTAACGATGTGCGAACATTTTATGGAACAAGTTTACACATTGAAAGAAGCTCATTTCACAAGTGCCATTTCAAATCTTTCTCTTTTTGTATCTTTAATTTATATCTTATGTTTATATCTTATTTTTATCTTATATCTTATCCGGAAACAAACTGCGCACTCGGCTCGTATGAACACCGTTAGTTAGCGTAAGGCAGACACCATTTTTCTACACCAACGATCGGAAATTAAACTCACCGCATTCAACCCGGAAAATAAGAGCGCGCCAGTCGTTCGCGTTGCCGCAGAAAATTAAGCGCCGCTCGCAACAATATCCACCGCAACTCCGCGCGCATTGTCGTCCGTACGCGAAACACACGCGAAAACGATCGGTGCGAACCGCATACAGGGCTTTGCAATTATCGCGTCCTTTGTCGCACGCGCCACGGCGGACAAAGGAAACGCGGAAGAAATATCGCTTCGGGCGGAGAGCGCACGGCAACGGAAATTATGATGCTCGCTTTCAGCGATTGGCGAATTAACAGTAGCGAGACGAAAGAGATGGAGGTGGGGGTGGGGGAAAAACATCGTCCACCGGTGTTATAGCCTCCCCGGGAAAAAAAAAATACAAAAGAGCGAATGGCTCGTTTTTATTGAGCCGAGTGCTCGTAAGTTCCGAGAGGATCGCTTGTCGATATCGCTCAACGATCGCAAAAAGGACACTCGACCATTCGACGTCTGACATATATCTCGGAAAAATAGTATCTCCACTGCCACAAGCAGCGTTATTCTCATTGTGCTACTTGATAAATGCTGTTAATAATACCGGAACGCATACATATTTTTTTTTTAGGGGAGGGGCAGATTCATCATCGAGAGAATTTATATACATTCGTATTTGCAATTGCTTCGTGCAATGAGATTGAATCGGATTTTTGATCAAAATCTTCGTTCGCTTCCCTCTTTCGTCATAATTTATTTAATAAATTGTCCGTGTACTATTATCTTCTGGTCAACAGAACGCCGTTACTCATACCCGATCGTTGAACTTTCTCTGCTTTCATCTCTAATCCGATTCAATCTCCGAGGCCATTTATCTGACCCTGCTGTATCGTGATCATAATATGATTACGATACAGAATGTTTCAGACGGATATGTTACACACAAGCTGTATTTATGGAATCTTTGATCAACGGGGTCATTTTCTCTTTAACAGGAACGAGATATTAGCAATTCATCAATTACAGCTAATAAATTGTTCAAAACCTTATCGATCATTATCTGGCGTGAATAAATAAACAGTCTTATCAGTTAATTTTAATTAAACTTTACTTTTTGTATTATTTCTTTTAATTCACAGCTAGCTGAGCTCAAGCTTTCTAATGCTGCAGATTACACAAACAGGCGTGAAGAAATATGGTGTCGAAAGAGATTCTTCGCGTAGAAACATCTAATCCGAATGACACACAAAGATTCCATCTACAGGGAATGGGGGTGCATCCCTTATACAAATATACGTGTGAATGCATGCGTAAAACGATTCGCGCGAGTGTATACGCGCAAGGATTTTACCTTCCTCTGTGCTCGTGTTAGCGGCGAGACGGTGCGGCCTCGACATGATTTGTCGCACCCTGCGCGAACGAAAAAGCAGATTGACGCCTCGTCGCATTACAATTCTCTCCCTCCTCTTCCCTTCCTCCGTCGCGGGCTATGCTATATCCGCCGGGCATCGCACGACAGATAAAACATCATTTATTATCAGAGCGCGTCGACCTCGACCTCACGGTGCCCTCCCACCCTCGCGCGGCGGGAGGGTGCGTCGTCGACGATCGGGACGAGTCTCTCGTTCACAAAGGGCGCGCCGTGTGCGAGCATCTCCCCTGCGCGAGTATCCCTCTCCTTCTGCACGACGAAGACGATCGCGCGCGATCCAAGGGGAAGAAAATTTGTCACGGCAAAGGACCCCGGGGCTCTTGGGTTTACGCGTCCGCGCGTGACAGTGTGTGCACAAGCAATATTACACACAATCGCGAGGACAGGCTCAAAAATCAGCGGTGGATTTATGCACCCATTTGCGCACCCTCGAGTGCGAAACTCTATAGTAATGACGTCCTCTTGTACCAAGTCTTCGAATAATCACTCGAACTCGATATGCGATATACGAAATGAAAGCAATAGATTTTATTTTTAAAAAGGCACAATTTTCTTTAAAATGTATCGCTCAAATATTCCAAAATTTTTACGGGAAATAAATGTTCTTAAAGTACAATTAGAGTGACAAATGCATTGTTTTCATCACAATAAAGCTCGCATTTTGATTCAATCGTTTTCGAATTTGTTCTTGGCTGAGTTTGTTTTTCTTTTGTTGCTTTTTTCGTCGTAATCGAGAGAGAGAGAGAGAGATAGGTATGCACATACATCTTAATCGGATGATGCCATCGTGGTTGTATGCCTCACGGGTTTAAGCCTCAATCCACCACTGAGTTAATGCGATCGCTGCCGCAGAAATGAAAAGTAAAGAGACAGAAACGAGGCATGAAACGGGAGTAGATGAAACGACGGATAACGAGAATTAAACATCGAGAGATTCCCGTGCCAAGTGCCGTTCGCTTTTACGGTCGTCAATCGATGACTCGCGCCGCCGCTCGCACGCGAGCGAGCGAGCGAGCAAGCGCGACACTCCGCGACGCGTATATACGATGATCCGTATCCACGGCCTAGTGCCAATTAATCCCTTTTGTACGGCCGTTCTCTCATTTCCCGAAACCCGTTTTTCGTGTTCGACAGTTGGTTTGTGCTCCCCTTGGGTCGCGCGCGCGCGTCGGTGCTCGTCGAGAGGAATTCGGCAAGTGAGATGTACTCTCCTTTAAACCTCTGATGCACTTTCAACAGTAAAAAATTTTCATATTGCAACCTTTATCAGACATCGATTTGCTACTGCATTTAAATTTATTATTATTAAATTAAATTATATTTCACACGTAATTTTTAATCAAAGCCAAAAGTGCATCGGAGGATCACATTGAAATTGAAACGATCATTTTGGCAATCAAAAGAAACGTAGCCAGAAATTAAGTTTAAAATTAAATCGCTAGGATTTTATGTTATTATTTTATACTACAAATAATTTTATATTAAAAAGACTTTATGTTTGTATAATAAGCAGTATAATTTTTTAATTTATTATTGCAAATAAGTATGCATATGCGGGATATTTCAAGCCTTGAAAATTATTTTTAGAATTCTATTTTCTTTTTCAAGTTACAATTTATATATTGTAAGCAAAAAAAATTCATTAATATTTAAATTATAAATAAATATGTATTTTATTCCTTATTTAATTTCAGGTGCACTTAAAATTTTGATAAAATTTTAATTTAAAAGCACGTTACAAAAGTGCATTTGACTTTAAGTTAAATAACGTTAAAAAATAAAATTTTTGATAAGGAAATATTAAGTCTAGATTAATCAAAGATTTCGCATGATAAAACTAACTAAATAACTAATAAATAAAACAGGATGATCACAGAGACTCAAAATATGCATATATATACGCGATATTTAATTTTATCCTTTATTTACGTAATAAAATAATAAAGCGTAAAATTACGAAGCTGTATGCATTTTGCACTTCTTTTTTCTTTCTGGCTACGCCCATATTTCAAACGGTAATAAATTCTGTAATATTCATTAGCTCTCGGACAATATGAGTGTTGTAAGTCGTGAAAGAGAGCTCTTAAAGTTTTTCACTGTTTAGGGAGCGACTTTCATTTTCTTTTTCATGCACACACAAAATGAGACACCCTTCTCGTATATATAGAATCACCAACACCCAGGCCTTTGCTTAGCGTTAAATTTCGTCCCGGGATTTTCAAGCTCCGTTCCAAGTACGAATCTAATACGGCTTGAATGAGAGAGGAGGTCCAGCTGGATCGCACATCTCGAATCTCCAGATTGCGAATCCGCCGCTAACTCTTTGACGACCGACGGGAGCAACCTTTCTTGTGTTCTTTTTTATTTCTCTTTCTCATTCTCTTAAACTCAGACGCCGGTGTTTCTGCACCGGGCGCGGGCTAATGACCGCGTGACTTCTTACACCGGAGGTTCTGGTGAAGGAGATGAATAGTCAATTCGGCAATAAATCAGCCCACCGTCGCTCGTAAGTTCCCATTTACACTCTCCTTTGTTGTAGCGTCCGCGCGCCACAAAACAGGCGTGGCGTGAGATGCATATTCGCGTACGTACCGCGGCGAGATCCGTGGATGTATTGCGGGCGCTATTTTGCATGCCGGGTCAACGCTTAATTAGCGACTAACGAAGCAGAATAAAAAAATGATAATAGCACGCTAAAATTGTAATTACCCACCGAGATTTCGTCGAGAAATATCGGGGCGAACGATCTCTTCAGTAAATTTTCTCAGGAAAAATTCGTTTCATCTGATAAAATCTCTATCGCACTAACGCACATATGTACGCACGTGTACACAAATACGCACAGTATATACACAAAAAATTTTCACCCCTTGTAATCCCTAAAATATTTTTACATTACTTTTGTGACGCTTGTACCGCTATATTTTGTAATTAATATATTTTGATATATTAACCATTTTGTTGATAAAATGTGTACAATTTGTGACAATAATTTATATCTTTTTACAGAGTTTTATAATTTATTTTTGAAAAATAAGAAGTAGAACAATAATTGCATAAATTTGAATATTAATATTATTAACTTATATTAATTTATCGTTTCCTACATATTTATATCTATAACAACGAAAAGAGAAATGTAACATAGACTATTCTCCATAACACCATTCTCAAATTACTCCAGTTAAAAAAATTACCGATAATGTCCGCGTTAACCGTCGATCGTCAAAGAGTTAATTTGTTAATTATACAGCCATACGCAGCTGTGCCAAATTGTAAACGTTTAATAATGGACGAAAATTCATTATTAACCATAAAGTCATTATTAATAACAATCAAGGTAAACATCTTCATTATATTTATTCGGATATCTTTCGAAAATGTGACGCGCAATGCAGGTCTTCATAATTTGCATTTTATATATAAAGGACCATTATTAGCAACGTTACTTAACGTAATCACAAGAAGAGATACCAAATTATGATGAATAATTTGCTGTACAATTTCATAATTCTTCCTTATATAAATTTTATTATTTTATACTTTTCCAGAAATAAATTCCAAAGCTATACGGCTTGTGCGGCCGTATCTTGCTCGTAATATTTTCAACGCGCGGGTTGACATTCAATGTGTATTGAAAAAACAACTTGAAGATTAACATCGAGCAAAAACAGAACACGCTTAGCTTGAGAGTCCAGATTTCGAGAGTCATGCAACAAATCATTCATCATAATCGTTCTCCTATTGCCACGCCTCTCTAACCCCGTAACTCTCTAACGATTTCTCGAATAAACATCTTTTTACGTTCGAAAACGAGCGCACGAGTCAACCGCGCGTTACACATTTTCAAAAGATTCCCATTGTTGTTAATACTTAGAATTCGCTAATTCGTAATAACTAATCTATCAAAAGTGTACTCATCTGCTCTGCATTCTGCGGCGGTGTGCCTTACACTCCTGCACGACGTTTCCGAAATTTTCTGCCGTGGAAGGCCTCCCGAAGGCACGTGGAAATAATTCATGAACATATCGATCAAAAGCACTTTTGTCCCGTTTGCAACATTCATGGCGTCATCGATCGCTCCTTTCGTTATGCATGTTTTATGAGAACAGTCTATGACAGTCTTTCGAAACTTGTTCATCCTTCTCGCGATTCGATCGCTATAATTTGCATAACAAATCGATTGTGGTCAACAAAGGGAAACTTTGGTGGATTAGACACCGAGGATCAGCAGCTTTACGTATTAAAATTTATATTTTATTACTGACAACCATGATTAGCGCGCGCGCGCGCGCGGATTTTCCAAAGTATCTTCGTTCTCCCCGCACTGTATTAGCGGCATTGTATTTATCACGGACACGTGTTTGAATATTTATAACGCGTTAGCATATTTATGGCACGTTAATACGTCGAGTGGATTCCAGTTCGCCATACTTCGCGAGCTCCCGTTACGGGATAGAAAAATTCGCGCCGGCACTGCTTGGGCGAATTTATTCTTTTCTCCACTATCTCTCACGTCTCCACGCGCACGTGATATCTCTGGGGAGGCCGCGTCGACTCTCGGGGAAAAAAAATACGTACGCAAAAGTCTGCCAGCAAATCTTTCCGTAGAAAGGTAAAATGGATGTTTCCTCGCAAACATTGACACTTAATATTTCACCCTGTTTCTCAAGTTTTTCCATTTTCCGTCGGAAAGTATCAATGATTCGTCAAAAAAAGTCAAAGATTTATGTCAAAGATTCATAAGATTTTACACGTAGCTCAGGTATCAGGAAGATAATCTTTTGCGAAAGAAACTTTTAAATAATATATGTGATTCTCATAAAAATTTGGACGCAACAATTTGGAAAAACGCGCACCATTTCTCTTCTTTCAGCTTACATTACATATTAAAAAATAAAATAAGAGAGAGTACGTTAACGAAAACATAAAACAGTACTTCACTTGCAGTATAAATCTGTGCTCGATATTTCTTTTTTTTTTTTTAGAATGAAAGGAGCACAGCTCATTTTGTCCGCGAAAGCAGTGCTCTAGGTCCGACTTTCAAGTAGCGCGCTCAATGAGATGCAAATGAATATTGACGTCGAGTTTAACAGTATTTTCGAAATTGCATTCTCGCGCACCCACTCACCGAGCAAGGCGGATGCGCGAGTA